GTTGCACTATCTCATTTAATCTTTGGAACAGCCCACTGAAGTTAGCTCCATTTTACTGAGGAGGAAATTGAGCTCTGGCAAGGTTTAAGAACATACTCAAGGTCACACAGTATACAAGTGATAAGCCTAGATTTGGACCCCAGTAGACTGAACACAGAGTTTATGATTTTTTACTTTCAGGTGACCTGAGGCTCAGTATTCTCAATGGGTAATCCATTCAATTATCCAGGTGATCGTGGAAGGAAGAATCATCCCTCCTTTCCCTGTTTAGTTTTTCAAAATGCAGGTACCTCACCTTTCCTGCCCCCTGGGGGAAATGTGATCATGTCACTTTCCTTTGCCTCTTCCTCCTGCACCTCAGTACTTCCTCATCCTGTTCCAGTAATAAACGCCGAGGTTCTTGTTGGAACACTGTCCTTCTGTTTCTGCCCTTTCCCTTCCGGAGTGTGGCCTGGGCTGACAAATATGCACTCTCTACCCCTGAGAAACCAGCCCAGAATGTGCTGTGGGGCATCTTCAGGTATGATACAACATCAGGTGCTTTTACAATCTAAGAGTACTGTTATGTTACTAATGGAGCGCAAAAATACTATTATTGAGGAAACTGGGCTGTCTTAATCTAACCAGTTTTATGTTTCACAATAAGCAAGGCAGCTTTTTAATTCAATTCTCCAGTAGAATCTTAGAAAATGATTGACAGAACTTGCTGTTACATTTCTCTGTTAATGACAGATTTATTTTCCTTTTCGTATTTTCAAGAGTGATTTTTCCTGTTTCTCTCATTTATCCCCCTCTCTGCACAGTGTCACTAAGACCATCACACGGTAGTGCCATCCAGGATCACGCTTCATGCGTTCCATTTGCATAGGTTGTGAAAGGCTGTATTGGCTTGGGTTCTCTCAGAAGCAGGCCCTAAGCCAAGAATTTGAGTGAAAGTGGTTTATGAAGGAAATCCCAAGATAAACCAGAAAGAAAGGAGGAAAGAAATGAAGGGAAGAAGCAAACAAGGGTTTTGTTTCTGTAAAGAAAGTCTCTGACTCTACATGTTGGGAGGTGGCTCTGAACTATAATCACATCTCAGAGTTTGCTCTGCCTGAGGCTTTTCTGTCTCTTCATGGGTCAGTCATTGGCTGCAGGTGAGGTATCTGGTGCCCAGGACAGTCTTCTGGAGTCCTTTAAGGACGAACCGTCTATTAACAACAAAGAGCAGTTAGGTCTAGGGGACAGGTGCGGACCTGGTAGAGCAGATCTAAGCATATTAGGATAGGGCACCAACAGTGTCCACTTCAAAGGCGAAGTCAGAAAAGCCCACATATTCATCCATATTTCACTCTCCTTTCGCAGCTGAGAGACTTGAGAATCAGAGAGGTAAAATACTTTGCCTAGAGTCTCACAGCTGGCCGGTAACCGAAGCAAGATCGGACCTCCATGGCCTCACTCCCTAACCAGTGCTCGAGCACCAGCTGATAGTGGCAAAGGGCGTTATAGTTGTTCCCATTACACCTCAGTTCCCTTTAATATTGTAGGCATTCGTCTGAACCTTTTAAAGCACATTTTAAAAAAACTTTAAATCAACTTTATTATATACAATAAATTGCATTATTTTTAGTGTACACTTCATGAGTTTTTACAAATGTATATAATGTGGCAATAATCAAGATGTGGGACATTTCCATCCCCTCAGAAAGAGCCCTCTCTGTATTGTAATGAGTGGTCCAGGCCGCTGATCTGCTTTGTCATTGATTAGATTGGCCTTTGCCTAGTATTTCTTGAAAACGGAATCACACTGCATGTACTGCTTTGTGTCCAGTGTGTTTCGCTCAGCATGAGATTCGCACGCGTATTAGTGTTTTGTTTCTTTTTATTACTCAGTAGTATTTCATTGTATGGATACACTACAATTTGTTTATGTTACCTGTAATGGACAGTTTTTGTCTATTATGAATAAAGTTGTTAATGAACATTGGTTCACAGGTGTTTTTGTGGATCCCTATTTTCGTATCTCTTGGGTAAATAACATGTTGCAGAAGTGCTGGGCTGTGTGGTAATGGCTAAGTTGCTTTCTAGAGTGATTGCATTTTACATTCCCAGTAGCAGTGAATGGGAGTTCCAAATGCACCACATCCTCTCCAACACTTGATATTGCCAGTTTTTAAATTTTAGCTGTTTAGATTGTATGTAGTATTGTTTTAACTTGCATTTCCCTGAAGATTCGTGATGCTGAGTCTCTTTTTATCTGCTTACTGGCCATTGGCATGTGGTCTTGTGCGAATTGTCTGATCAAACCTTTTATACAATTGTCGATATATGTGTGAGGTTATTTCTGGACTCTACTCAGTTCCAAAATAGCTATTTTATCCAGATTATGTTTATTCCATCATGTCTACATTTCCAGATTTGTTTCTATTGATTGATTTTTCTCCTGATTATGGGCCATATTCTTGTGTTTGTTGTCACATTTAGTAACTTTATAGTGGAAACTAGATATTATAAGGTTTTTTGGGGGGGGGGAACGCTAGATTTTGTCATCTTTTTAAAAGTTTTATACTTTTTTTCCACCTAGCAGTTAAGTTACTTGCTTGGTCCTTTAGAACCTTGTTTTGAAGCTTCGTTAGATCAGGTTCGAGTAGCCCTTACTCGATGTCTTGTTTAGATCCATTACTAGGGTGTAACCCTGCTGCGGTCTCCACTCAGTTCCCCAGACGTTCACTATGGCCTCTCTCCCCTGGCTGGTCGTAACCTGAACTGTCACAGCCCTATGTGAGCTAGGGAATTCATCTGCATGTGGAGTCCCCGTTGTCCTTGCCTGGCCTTGTATATTTCTCCTCTATGTTTGTGCATCTTAATATTCACCCAGACTTAATGCAACCCCTCTGTAAGTTTCTGGAATTTCTCCAATCTCCTATGCTTCACTCTACAAATTCCACCGGTCATGGCTTTCTTGAAATCTGCTCCCCCTCCCCCAGCCCCCCAACTGAGCAGGACCCCCTTCCTTTGCTTGGGTTACTCCTCTTTGCACTGCTGTGCAAAAAGTGCTTTCAGGTAGAAATGTGGCGTAGTCTTAGGACTCATTTTCCTTCTTTCAGAGCTCACAGCTTTGTACTACTTGTTGTCCAACATCTGAAGATCATTGTTTCATATATTTCATTCTGTTTTCTAGTTACTTACAGTAGCCCTTTATTTCATCATGGCCTTCTTCATTTTTTTTGAAAAAATTCTGTGTAACCTTTTGTGTTCCAGCTTCATGTATTTTCTGTGTTAAAGATATGCTTCTATTTGCCCACATCATCTACTGTTTGTATTTGGTGTTTTGGGGCTGGGATACACTCAGGTACAGTATTCTGCTGAAGGCAAGATCTTAAGTCATAATGCGTCATAATGCCATAGCTTTTACTCCTTTGAATTATTTTACTTTTATTTTAAAATGTTGCATTATTGAATACAACATACAAAAAAGTGTATAGCTTGAACTATGTAGGTTGAATCAGTATTTTTAAAGTGAGCAACTGTGTAATTGTGATAAGTGAAAGCAACAGATCACTGCCAGCATGCACAGAGCCTCCTTTATGTGCTCTGTCCCAGTCACAGCCCCTCCCTCCTCGGGGAGATGACGACTGTCCTGTCTTTCACAGTAGAGGGGCCTAATACTTGTCCACAGACCTAGGGTGATGTTTCAACGTACACTAACCCAAGCTACACTGACCTTCTTGTGATTCACTGTCCATTCCCTTGTAAACACCATTGTATCCCAATGCTGGACACCAACTCCTTGGCCCAACATGTGGCCAAAACCCAAAAAAAAACCCCCCAAAAAAAATTTTTTTTTTGGCCAAAACCCAAAAAAAAACCCCCCAAAACAAAAATAATTTGTCATTTTAAATTATAAGAAAATGTTTAGGGTAACTTGTATTCTTTTTTTGTTTTTCTTTGCACTTTGTGGCTCCTCCTGTAGCTTCACCACACAGTGAAGAATGTGTTTTAAGTTTCTAAAACGAGGGTAACTGCTGCAAAGTCAGAGGATGGAGGGCTGACTTACAGATGGGGTGACGGGGGCTTCATGGGGAGGCAGCACGTGAGCTTTGCTCAGAGCAGTGGTGCTGCATTGTGGCTACTTATTAGAATCACCTGAGGAGCTCTTACACCTACCAGGCCTGGGTTCTACCTGCAGAGACTCCAATTGGTCTGGGATTTTTTTTACAGGGTCTCTGAATGATTCTGGTGTGCAGAACCAAGGACCAGGATCTTAGACTAGAGCATTCTCCTTGAACCGGGACCAGAGTTTTTTGTTTGTTTATGTTTAAATTTCTAATCTACCACAGACTCAGTGATATTTTTTGTAAAATACCATAAAAATGAATTACTAGAAAAGTTAAAAAACAAAACAAAACCCAAAAAACACCCAGAGGCAAAGAAATACAAAACGCAAGCCCCAATATTATTAGATTCAACATATATACAATAATAAAATTGCTATAAAGATTTCAGAATATTTACTGCTGATTTCTGTACTTACTGTCATGGATGTGAAACTCGTTCATGGACTGGTGCTGGTGTGCAGAGTAGACCAGCTTGGAGCAGTGCTGATGTAGGGGCAGCATGGAGGAGTCCTGTCTTCAGTGAATGGCAGCATGTGCCATGGAAATAGATTGGGTTCAGATAAGAAGGGGCCTGGAATGCTGGGACAAATAGCTTGATGTTATTCTGTAGGCATTGGGGAGCCAAAGAATTCTTGAAAGTCATGATCTAATTGGCAACATTGTGTATGATGGATTTACAGTGAGAATGCATTGTTGACAAGAACCTGCAAGGGCAGAGGGGTGAAGGGGTGTGGACTAGGTAAATAAAGCAAAAACTATCACATTTTGGGAGCAGTCACCGCAGAAATGCTAGTAGACTCCTCAGAGGATACAAGAATTTAAGCTAGCTACTCCCTAAACCTTAAATAATCCAGAAAACAAAACTAAATTCTAAAAAAAAAATTGTACCTAATATATTTTCAGAAACCACACAGATAGAAGATCCAAGAAAACAATGGAGAGGGGAACAGGAGAAAATGCTCAAGGACTATCTCTCAGTGGCCCAGGACGCACTCAGGACACAGAAGGAGCTGTACCACGTGAAGGAGCAAAGACTGGCATTGGCCCTGGATGAATACGTGCGATTAAACGATGCCTACAAGGAAAAGTCAAGTTCTCGCACAAGCTGTAAGTGCAGTGTGGCTACTCGGACTTTAGAGTTGGAGGCTGAGTATTGTAGGTAGAAGAAGACCACTTGCATTTCTGAGAAGTTACATTTTAAGTCCGTTCCCCTCCTGAGAGGTGGGGGCACACCACAGATTTCTCAGTGAAACCCCTCAACCCCATTCCAGATGAAAGTCTTCCCGTTTGGGGATTATGTGTGCCTTCCGTTCCTGCTCCTCCCTCTGCCTGATTGTCTTTTATTTATTTATGAGTTAATTTTTACCATTTCAGAGCAAGACCAGTAATTTGGCCTTTTTGCTACCTTATAGAATATGTAGTGGGGAGGAACTGGAACTCTTAGCTAAAGCGAGGTTTCTGTTGATGGCCTGAGTTGATTTATCTGCCCCCATCTCGTAAATTGATAACGTGGAGCTGCCTTTGTTTAAAGAAGCAGCTGTGATGGGCTCAGAAGTGCTACATAAATTACCAATTCCTGGATAATGCAAAGCTCTCACCTACGCACCCAGAGTACAGTCCTCTAAAGAAAAAAAAGGCCAAAAACCAAAAAAAAAATAAACAACAAGGGCCGGAAGAAAATCCAATTTAACGAATTTTTTTCTTTAAATTACAGAGATTCGAAGGTTACTTTTTATATTTACATGTCTGGTGAATGACAATAAAGGAATTATAAAAAGAAATAAGTATCCACAGAAGCACATAAATCTTGTCATTTTAAGAGTCAGTAAATTCTAAGCTGAGAACTAGTTAGGCAGCTTGTAAATAATTATTTTTTCTCTTTCCAAAGTATTCTCAGGATCTTCATCCAGTACTAAATATGATCCCGACATTTTGAAAGCTGAGATCTCCACTACACGATTAAGGGTAAGTTGATTTCAAGTGTGGTTCCACGCTGACTATGTGTAGACTCTGAAGGCTGTGGAAGGGGTGTTAGTGGTCATCTCCCATCCCATTCATTGTAGCAGATTCCTCCACCGCTCCCTGATGAGTGGTCTTTCTGCCTCTGTTTGAACAAGTTCTGTGTTAGGATCATCTTTGTTATTGAGGTGACACATATTCCATTTATTGCACAGTTTTATTGTTAGAATATTGAACGAAAATTTGATTCAATATTAATAACTTGTCTTTGCTCATTGTTCTGAGTTTTATCCTCCAGCGTTAATCCAAGTTACTGTTTCATCAGACAACCCGATATTTAAAGATGCCTACGATTTGCATCATCATGTCATGTCATGCTTTTCTAGGTCAGACTTGGCTAGGTCCTCATAATTCCTCTTACAGGGTTATTTCCTGATCCTTGCCATAAATCTTTTTGATCAAACTGCCGTTAAGGCCAGAGATTGTTTATTCTTGATTTTTGGAGTATTAAAGACTGTTCACCAAGTAAAGAAACTCATGTACCCAAGACCCAGCTCATGAAACAGGTTATTACCGTGACTGCAGAAGCCTCCGTTGTGTCCTTTCATCGTCCTTACCCTTCTCTCTAAAGACAGACCATCCTCATTAACACAGAGGTTAATTTTTGGCCTGCTCTGCGCTGTGTAAAACCGGCGTGCTACCATATGTATTATTCAATGGCTCGTTTTGCTCAACGTTTTGAGATTCATTCACATTCACTTTTATTGCTGTGTAGTATTCCCCTTTTGTGTATATACCACAAATTCTTTATGTCATTTACTGTTGATATACAGTAAAGTTTATTTCAATTTCTGATTATTAAAAATTACACCTTAATGTACATGTCTGTTATACATGTCTTTTGGTGCACATATGTACACAGTTTTGTTGGTTTTGCAGCTAGGAGTGGAATTGCTATGTCAAAAAATATACCCATCACACAGCATAGTTCTCCAGGTCCATGATGTTGTAGCAAACAGCAGGATCTCCTTTTTTATGGCTGAATGAGCTCACTTATATGTGGAGTCATAAAAAAAAAAAAAAAGTCAAATATACAGAAATAGAGAATAAAACAGTGGTTATGGGGAAGGGGTAGGGGAAGAATAAACAGACATATAGTTCAAATGATACAAAGTAAGCAGATATGTAGGATGAACAAGTCTAGAGATCTAATGTTCAACATGAGGATTATAGGTAGTAACACTATATTGTATTAGGGACTTTTGTTCAGTAAATAGATTTTAGTTGCTCTTGTAACAAAAAAACTGTGTGTTGATGGATATGTTAATTTACTTTACTATAGTAAAGCATTTTACTATCATTTTTGCTATTTACCATTTTACTATCTATATGTATCCCATAACATTAGGTTGTAAACCTCAAATATACACAGTACAATTTATTTTAAAAATACACAGTCATGTGTCACTTAATGACGGTTACATTCTCAGAAATGTGTCGTTAGACGATTTCTTCATTGTATGAACATGATAGATGCACTTACACAAATGTGGATGGTACAGCTACTGCATACCTAGTGTATGTGGTACAGTGTATTGTTCCTAGGCCACAGAGCTGTACAGCGTATGACTGTACTGAATACTGTAGGCAGTTGTAACACAATGGGAAGTATTTATGTATTAATATTTAACCATGTCTAAGCATAGAAAAGGTAATGTGTTGTCCTACCAAATTTTTCAACTCCATTATAATCTTATGGGACCACCATCATATATGTGGGCAAATGTCATTATGACTGTACATGTCTTACTGGATACTGCCTAAGTTTCAGCCCTTTTTACTTTCTAATGTCTGCATTTGAGGCTCTAAATTACTTTACATGGCTTTCTCCTACATCCCACAAGTTTTGATTTTTGTATTTTCATTATCACTTAGTTAAAAATATTTTTTAACTTTCTTAATGATTTCTCGTATGAGTGTATTGTTTAATTTTCAAACATTTGGAGATTTTTCTTTAGTTGATTCTAGCTCAATTACACTGTACTTTGCAGTTTTAAAA